TTTCCACCAAATAAAGCTTGCCCCTATTTTCAGATTTTTCATCATACAGAAACTATTATTAAAGTATGCTTCTTTATTCAGCAGAAGGATGCAAATTTAAGACCAAAAATTTTCCAAAAAGCTTGCCCATCATTGTTGTGGTGCAGATTTTCCACCAGATATTTTCAATATAGCTTAATATTAAATAAAGCTTGTGCCTTCATTTACCAGACCAGTGCAAGTTTTCCACCAGAAATTTTCTGTTCATTTCATTTATCAGAGCGATGTAAATTTTGCACCAGAATTTTTCAATAAATCATGCTCCTCCATTCATCAGAATGGTGCATCACAAATTTTCAGTGAAGTTTGTTTCACCATGCACCTTTGTGGGTCAATTTTCAGACTTTACCTTTACATGCACCATAATGGTGCAAATTTTCACCATAAATTTTCAATGAAGCTTACATCAGAACGATGCAAATTATACACCAGAAAAATGAATAAACCTTGCTTCTACATTCACATGTTGCGAACTTTCCACCAGAAATTTTCAGTTAAATGTGCAGCTCCTGATTTTTAGCGTGATTCAATTAATTAATTATGATTAGTCCCTCCATTTTATTCAGTTTGATTATTTACTTGACGATATTTTTACACCAGAAATATTCAATAAAAAGCTTTTTCTTTGATTTACCACCACCACCAATTTTTTCAACCTTAAATTTGCCCTCTTGTTAAACCTCCATGAAAAAAAAATTACACTAGATTTTTTTGTATGTATTTGGCCAAAAAATTTCATTGAAGTTTGTCCCTTCATGCACCTTTGTGGTGCAATTTTCAGGCACCATCTCAAAGGAATTGACGCAATAGAAGGTTTTCATTTTTCTTCAAATATCATAATTTTGTAAATGTGGAAATATCTTATTTTTAAAAGGGTGGGCAATTGCCCCACCTTGTCCCACCCTGTGCACGCCAGTGGTTTTTCTCTTTACGTAAGATATTGTTCATCACAGGGTTCTTCTACTGTACTCCTAGCTAGATTGTATCAAATTTTAGGCTATAAAATCAAATTTCAGTTTAGAATAACAGATTTACCTGTTATTAGGAATTTAAACGATGAATAATATAAGAACTAGGAGATGAATCAACTTACCTTTGTTTTGAAAGTATTAATAAACGAAATATAGTTAAATTTAAATAAAACTTATCAATCGATTGCACGCTTTTAACTTTTTGCTTTTTGTTTTTGATTTTGCATGACAGTAAAAGTGTAGCATTCTTGGCTGCGTTGCGTCAGCCGAGGCGTCGGCTTTTATTATCGAAAGGGCCTATAGCTTGCACGGCGCAACAGTGTCGCTTAGTTCGAGATCAAGAGCATATTGCTCTCCAAACCTCGTGTTCACAATCCCTACCCTGCCATCCATTTGTTACAATTTGTTACCCCTAACCTCGAGATAGCCGCAAATAATCTGCCCCCGCTTTACTAACGTTAGTTTTGAATAATTTTGTAATCTAATCAATGAATATCGGCTCCGCTAAGCTACAGCAATTGAGCCTGGAAAAATAAACGCATTATATAAAAAAAGAGCATTTCCAGCTCAAAACGCCAAAAAATAATGACAGTTTTGGCCCGACCGACCCTTTCCGATTTAAATTAAATATTGTACATGTGTAAGATTACCTTTTTAATTACAATATGACAATGTTTTTTTTTACCATAACTTGAACACGGGTTTGATAAAAACAACGTCAAGTTGTAGGGGATTGAACGAACTTTAAGGAAAAAAAAATATACTTGCTAGAAAACATCGCTTTAAAGCCATGATAAAAAACCAAAAAGTTGATATTCGATTATTTTAAATTTTAATGTGAAGAAAGCAAGGTATGTTCTAAAATCTGTTAGGGAGATGGTAAAGTGCTAAACAACTTAGATTTTTTTTTTTGGTTTTTTCAAATGTTGTAACAGATTTCAATTACACATTTTTGAGGAAAATAATACTAATGGTTTCAGCACAAACCATTTTATCCACCTAAACACAGCTTCTGGACCATTGAGCACTGAGGGAAAACGCAACGTTCCAATTGTGGCGTAATAGCCAAGATGAAGAGAACGGCGAACAGTTAACCATTTGCAGTAGCCTATACTGAGCTGAACACTTGAAAAATTAAGCGCAAAAACCGCACCCACCTAGCATGTCTGCCCAGCCACTTCGACCGGGCACAGTCAATTACGCCCAGGAGTGCCACTCAAATAAATTCCGCCGCCATGCATAGCTGTGCCCAAATATCGGAACTTCTCGTTCGGTCAAAAATTGCTACAGCTCTGGCCGCACCATCATGCCCAAAAGCGAACCCACCCGGATAGAGAGCACCCCCTTTTTCACCACTTTAGCTTTGGGCGAAAATGCTAAATCATGTATTCAAATTAGAAAAGCCCACATATTTTTTCCCACCAGCCGGAAATGGACACCATCAGCCATCGGGAGTCGTTCAGCTCTCTGCCACTTCTCTACCGGCATCATCCAGTTTGTCACGGTCAGGAACAGGAAGTGTGATTTTATGCTGCTTTTTGCTTGCTCTTGGTTTGCGGCATACCGTTGTCGTCGTCGTCGTTGTCGTCGTTGTCGTCGATTCTAGTCGACCGTCATTGTGAGAGGCAAGGGAGCAATTTTTGAATATCCGTTCCGATCCATTGTCGATGAACGAATGCTTTTATTCAAATGTAAATGTTTAGCGCCTTGCCCGTCGGCTTCCGGAATTCTCGGTCAAATCACGTGAAATGTGTTGGAAATACAAATACATTGAATCAACAAACATCCCCACTTGTCAAGGCGCACATTTGCAATTCATCAACAGGACAGGAAAATAAGGAACGTAAGTAGGTTATGCCATGTTCCGACCCCTGGAGGGCCCTCGAGCACACTAATGAGGCATAAATAAAAAATGTTGCTTTCCCTCTCGGTTTCACAACGAGACAGCTTCTCGTTACTAATGCTTTAAAGAGCGCACATTAAACCACGGGATGATGAAGCTTTTGTCGTCCTGATCCAATTCATTCGGCGGCGGTGGCGGCGGCGGCGGCGACGTGGCGCGGTGCTCATCCTTGTCTCATAGACAGACACACGCCAGAAGCAAGCAGAAGCCGTGCGATTTCGACAAAAGGACTTCTATCTCCCGTTCGCATCTTGACTCAATCAAATCTTCGCACCACTTGCGAATGCAAATAGTGCACCTCTCGTAAGCAATAGGATGCATGTTGCATGTATAACTTGTTTGCCACGGAAAAGCACTCTTTTATAGGGCGCTGGTTTATTCAGCTCTGCAGCTAGGCAACATCTTGGCTGAATGAGCGTTCTGCAGCAGTGTGTAAAGTGACAGTTTTGTTAAACATGAATGCAATATTTTCACTCACTTGTGTACTCAACCAATCGAGGAGCTGAAATGCATCAACGTGGGTCCCTTTCACGGTCCCAGGCGCCGGAGGCAGTGATTTTCACCTGCTTGGTGGGTTGTTTGCTTGCTTGCGTGCCTTGAATATCGTTGCGGAAAAACCGGGGAGAAAGAATAGCGTGATGCCGCTAGGGGTGGTCATTTTTCGTTGCAACCATTGAGAATCTAGTGGAGTTGATTGGTAGGATAGCATGAATTGTTGGATTTATTTACATTGACATCCCTATCTATAGCGGAAGTGTGTGCTTTATGTCCGCTAGACCTTTGCACCGTCTAACGTGTGTCATTTCTACGTCAATTTACGACAAGGGGACAGAGGATAGAGGTTTGATCTAAGGTACATTGTTGACACATTTTGTTTCATAATAAAAATCTATTGTTCACGTGAAATCCTAATCACAAATTTGAGTATGGTGATGCAGTAAAACCGGCGCTCAACTCTACCATTATCTTCTGCTGCGATGGCAAACGACTACAGTACCACCCCTAAATAACAAGACGAAATATGTGCACCCTACACAACTCACAACAAAAGCAAATCGCGCTGCCAGAGAACGAGCGTTTTGAATAAATTTCCCATCCACCTTTCCATCAGCAGGGTACAGAAGAAGAGTGCCAGCATCTCGCCGGAATGCAAAATGCAATGCAATAAAAATGTAAATTCATTTGCCAACGTAGGTATCTTCCAATAGCAATTTACGGTTCATGAGTGTGCTCTATTGAAATTGCTCAACCGTGCGTAAAAAAGATGTGCATAGCAACTCATAAAAACCGGTGTTAAGTTACATGCGTCTTTTGAGCAGGGAACCGTTTATTAAAAACTACAACCCCCCTCCCCGACAGGCAGACAGGCGAAGCAACCCCGAGATGCTAATTAACCCACTTGCTAGCGAAGTGGCGAAGCGATGTGCTAGGAAAATGTTAATAATTTCCAATAAAATTACTTTTGCATCCACCCACTCGAACGAGGACTAGTAACAGCTGGTGCCACTGTCGTTCGGGTCGTCCCCCAAGACGACGACGATACTCAATTTGCATCCAAGTTGACAGTGTGCCATTTTACTTAATAACGTTGCGATCTTTTTTTTTTTTTGTCTCTACGCTGTGACTAGATTAGTCTCGTTAATTTTCCTACTACTATACTTTTCCCTCCGTCATAGCCTAGCTTCCGCGAAGCGAAGACCATATGCGTCGTCTGGGCTCGCAGCCAAAGAAGAAGTGTGGGACGCTCGTCTCCGCCTATTACGAGAAAAGGGCCAATGACTTCGAGACTACTGCGCACGTGGCAGCACGTGCGAAAATTTCCGCTTTAAAAATTTATTAATCGAATTCAGCTGGGAGCCGATTCAGCGACTGCCGACGGCGACAGAGAACACCTGTTCTGCGAGCCGGTACGGATATATGGAAATTGCCAAGGTGTCGATCTTCGCGCGTGCGAACGAAATCTCGACATGAGCGTGCCGCATGGAATCAGGAGCTTTAATATTTCAAGTTGCTTTGAAATGAAAAAAGTTGAATTCACTTTCCCAAACAAAGAGTTATGGCGCAATGCTGGAAAAGTTGTTCCTTACCTTCTTGAGATCCTTAACGGGTTCGCATTCGTCGGCTTTCCGCTTCTCCGTGGAGGCCAACTTGGTTTTGTCCTTCTCGGACATGATGATCTGTGTGGGCGGGAGAGAAAAACGAAAATAAGACGATTAGTGGATTGTTGGAAAGCATGCGGCTGGCATAACTTGGAAAAATGTTTCACTTGTCGGAACGATTTCGGGTCGGTTGAGAAATTTTCCCAGCAGCAGGAACTGCCTGCTTTAATGCAAGGTCGGTTCATAGGAAACTGAAGTTTGAGGTTTTTTCTCTTTATCTGTATTATTTAAAGTGGCACTGTTTCAAACTCAGTAAATTTCAAATCCGGATGATGCGAACTCATACTGCACTGGCCCTTTGAAGTTTATATGGGAATTACAGGGCTGGTAGCAAAAGTGATTTTAGTGACCATGTTGAAGAAATAAGTGACCAATCAGTGCCTTGTGGTTGTAAAAATAGTGACTAAAAAGTGACCTCAGAGAAGAAAAGTAGTTGTTTTGATGGCAAACCAAATAAATGTTTGATGTTTTAGACTTATTCAATAAGTATCTCATTAACACTTATGTACGATAATAACCTTTAAAGCAAAAGATTCAATAGAAAGTTTATGGCCAAACCCACGGTTTTAGTCAGGGTGTCTACTGACTGCAAAAAGGTGAAAACCGGGAATCCTCAGGAAATTTTATTTTTCCTTAAAATACCTGCAAGGCTAAGGATATTTTAAAGGATTTCAAATACAAGCATTTAATTTTTCTCGGTATTTTCATCCGCACTTTGACCAGTATAGATCCAGAGTGGATAAATCTTCAGTAACAAATCAATAAAAAAAACGGAGGCTTGAAATTTTGTTTTGGAACATGCATATTTCCCAGAAATTTCAAATTTGAACTAGTTCTGGACTTGATAGCTACAATACTTCAAGAAATTTTCAAGAATCTGAAGTTAAATTTCATGGACAGTTTTAAAAGCTCGTGGAATTTTATTATAATTAATCATTTTGTCAAGCTTCTGCATTCATGTTCCATCAGGTGTCACTGCTGTTGTTTGCGGTGACATCTCTCGGAAACTACGCACAATCTGTTTTCCTATAATTGTTCACAGAGGACACTGCAGTGCAAAACATGTCTGGTACATCTATATATGCATTTAGATTATTATTCGAAGTCCCTCCTTTTTTACACATTCTGCACACAAAATAGCTCACCCCTCACAGAATTTCCCGCCGAATTTTATGTATGGGGCGGGGCATAAATTATCTTTTGCGCAGAATATGTAAAAAAGAAGGGACTTCAAATGTTACAGCAAATGCATACATAGAGATACCAGACATTTGTAGTGTCAGGTACTCTATTTTGTAATCTGTGAAAGGGAAATCACAAATCGAGTGTCAACAAAATACATGGCATGTTTAGAGATTGAGCTCGTGAGAGCAAATTTTCTCTCTCAAATTTGAATTTTTTGGCTCTCTGGGGACTGGTAGTAAATGAGGTAAAACTGTATGGGGAAAAATCATTTTTATTTAATTGTAGCTTATTTAATAATAATTTCCGGGAAAAACCGAACGACAAAGTCCCTGACTAATTTGTTTAGGTTGTCGTTCACTTTTTTTGACCTGAATATGCACCGAAAGCGAATTATTCCCACTTGTCTCAATTTCTATATGGGGATTTTTTATCACTTCCTACCAGCGGAACAGCGCCATCTCTGTGGAAAATTGTCGAGCAAAATGATTAATTACTTAGAACCTTATTTAAGGAAGTTCTGGGTAAAAAATCTTTCAGAAAAACATAAAATGCAATCTGCTTTCAAGGCAGTTCTGAGGAATTTTGGATTTCTTGTGAAGCCTGATAGCTTTGAGTAGAATTTCAAGAAACTCTGAATTGAATTAAAAGCAAAGTTTAATGAAAACTCTTAGTAATTTCTGAGGAGCACAACTCCTTCAGAGGAAAATTCCAAGGGCCTTCTGAGGATATTTTGTGAGTTTGTGAGAGAAAACGAATCCGAGGCATAAGTCCTTGAATTATTTTGAAAATACTAAAAGGAGGATTACAATTAAATCTGAGAATAAATCCAGAACATCTTCAAAGGAATTCGGAAAATAAATTCAGGAGAGTTTGCTAAACAAATTATGAGAAGAAATCTAAGGAATTTGTGAGAAGAAATGCCAACGAATTCTTAGGAGACTTTCAATGTGAGTAGAATTCCAAGGGAAGGAGTAAGATTCAAAAATAAATCTGAAATGAATTCAATGAATATTCGGAGAATCTTTCCAAAGGGTTACTTATTTACTAAGGGAATTTGAAGATAATTCCGAGGAAAACTAAAAGAAAATTGAATTCTAAGCTTCATTGAAATGTTGAGGTATATTCAATGGAAATCAAAATGGACTATTTTGAGGTCTTCAGAACTACTTGAAACCAAGGTTGCAAAGACTCATTTCAGCTAAAACAATGTTTTTCTAAATTATGAAATAATTAGATGCCATGATCAAATTTTGAATTGGTAGGATACAAGAAGAGGTTGCAAAGAATGTGTTTGACATATTAAACCTGTTTATTTCACTTCATGAGAGTCACAGTCAGCGATTTTTCACAAACTCACTCACTCACTCAGCGATCAGCAAATCGCTGATTGTGACTCATAGAAAGCAAAATTTACAGGTTTTATGTTTCCAACGCATACTTTGTAACCTCTTCTTGTAAGTTACAAGTAAAACATGCCATCATACCATCTTTTGGTTTTATTATTCCGAAAAACATTATTTTAACTGAAATGAGTCTTTGCAACCTTGCTTGAAACTTCCCAAATTTTTCCTGAAGTTATTGAAACTGCCCTCAAGTTCTTTTTTGTTTGAGAAACTAGCCTGATGCTCACAATACTTCTCATTAAATTCTTAAGCTTCCCTGAACGTTATAGGACTTCCTAAAGTTTCCTCAATTTTTCTATCGATCATAGATCTCTTCTAAAGGTTTAACAATTCGCTGAAGTTCTCTTAACTTCTCTAAAATTTATGTCATTTCTCTAATGTTAACGGAACTGCTCTGACGTTCTCTGTTCCTTTCTGAAATTCTCAAAACTTCGCTTAGGTTTTTGAAGTTTCATGATACTTGTTGTACTGCGCTGAATTTAATTGAACCGTCCTGAAATTGTTAAAGCTTCACTGAACTTCTAAACTCATGGGAAGACCTCAATTAAATTTTTAACGTAATTGAAGTCATCTGGTTGAGCGGCGCCGGTGGTGTAGTGGTAAGCGTGATTACCTCTCACCCCATCAGGCCTGGGTTCAATCCCAGTCGGCGCCACCAAGATGTTCTGACGAATAACATCTCTGATCACTGAAGGGAAGTAAAGCCGTTGGTCCCCGGTTCATGAGTTGATGGGTCGATAGGTAGGATCCAGGTGTGGGAGCTGCCTCCCTGGCATCGGTAGCATTGGTGCTCAGCACGGAAAACAAGATCGACGGAAAACAAATCAAGGAAAAATAAAATAAAAATGAAGTTATCTGACAATCTGGGAACTGCCTTAAATTTTCACTAATTTTCTGAAACTAATGGAACTGACCTCCCTCTGAAATTCGAAGCTTACTAAACTTCTTCCAAATGCTCCCACATTTTGCCAATGTTCATACAAATTCCTGAAGTTCACGTATCTCCTCTTAAGCTCCATAGATTTCTATAAAGTTCTCGAAATGTTTCTGAAGATCACTGGCCTTCTGTGAAGATTTCGAAGTTTTTCTAAACTTGTGGAACTTTTGTGCTCCTGCAATTTTTATGGAATTAGAACGAAATAATTAATAGTGTTCTTTAATTTTCACTGAAGTTCTCAAGATTTTTCGGAAATTCATGAAACTTCTCTTAAAAAATTGTCACTAGTTTAAAACTTTTTAAATAGTCTAGACTTTCCTGGTGGTCTTTAAACTGCCTACACGATTATTGAATTTCCCTAAAGTACACTAGACTGCCCTCCCACACCTGGACACTACCTATCGAACTATCAAATCATAGATCCGGGTCCAACGGCATTACTTCCCTTCCGAAGGAAGGCGTGATCAGAGATTGTATGCCTCAGAAAATCCCGGCGGCACCGACTGGGAATGAACCCAGGCCTTTTGGGTTAAGAGGCAATCACGCTTACCACTACACCACCACACCACCAGCGCCACTCTTCTCAAAACTTCTGTAAAGTTTCTACAATTTCCTTGAAATTATTCGAACTGCCCTTTGATTCACTGATCTGTCATGATGTTCTCGAAGCTTCCCTAAAGCTCTCAATTCTATTGAAGATCTCGGTTCTGCTCGGAAATAAATGGAATTCCCGTAAACACCTTTATATTGCCCCGAATTTTTTTGGACTTCTGTGCAGTACCGGAAATGTTTCTGAAGTTTTCATAAATTCTCGGAAGGTCTTTGTACTTCCCTGAAATTCTTGGAACATCTTATCACATCATGGAACTATACTGATTTTTCTTAAATTACGATTATAGATCTTTAAATTGCTCCAAAAGTCTGGACTAAAGTTACGGAAACTGCCCTTAAGATCTGTTATAATCCAAAAATCTCTAGATCTAGCTTTTCTGAGGTGCTTAGAACTTCTTAAAATTTTCACAATACCCGTCAGGTTTACTATACTTTTGAGGGTAATCTGAAGATACTCTTTTAACGAAAAGTTGATGAAACTTCCGTTGAACAATGGAAGAAACTTGCGGGAGAAGGTTGAAGATTCTTCCAGGGCAAGTTTTAAAAAACTTCCAGGAGATGTTGGAAACCTCCCAGAGAAATAATAAGAATCCTTCCGAAGAAGCTGGTCGAAATATTCAAGCGGAAGTAGGACGAAACTTCCAGAAATTGTCGGAAAAATCTTCCGGGGAAATTCTGACGAAGTTCAAATTTTAATAAATAACTACCGAAAATATTTACCGATTCCCGGGAAGAGTCTTCAGCTATTTTAAGATTCCAGGTTGCTGGAAATGGCTGGGAAATGGAAACACTAACACCACCATATCACCAAAAACTTCAAAGACATTTAGCCATCCATCCCTAGAAAGCAAAAGAGACCTAAACATCCCCTGGCCTAGACA